TAAAAAAAAAATATTCTTTAATTTTATTTTCACTATTTTGTTAATTATGTTAGATAAGTATATACTAGCAATAACATGAACTAGAAATTTGAGATTAATTTTGATTGATTTTTTCTTTACTAAATTAACTAATTATATTAAATAACTTTGTATTAACATTTGATCAAGTTGTTACCAAGATCAAGTCGAAAAACTTATCGGATTAAGGAATAAAAAGCCCATATAATTTTTTTTATACAATTGCATTTTGAAAAGTGTGTCATATTAAAATTAATTTATTTATATTTGACACGAACTCGACTCATTCTTTATACGAGTTAAGATTAACAATCAAGTATTGTTGAAATTTATTTCTAGTACAAATCCATTAGATCCCACTACACTCATATGATCTTTAACAAATGATCATCCTTAATAAAGCGTGAGCACTCTCTTGGATTCAATTCTATGCAAACTGTCATTTAAATTGCATCTTTAATCATTAAGTGTGGTAATGCTCTGAATGCTTAGCTATGAATGCTAGGGGAGGGGGGGTGCATGTACCTGAAAGTGTGAAAGGCAACTAGAGTGGAAGATTGCAATTCTTGATTACAGACTTTAAAGGTTAGCAAAATAAGCTGCTTTTTTGTTTTCTAATGTTAATACAAGTTAAAACATGTCGGTAATGTCAAAATCGAATTATTAGTATTTGATGTTAATTTAATCTTTTTATTACGCTTTGGCGAAACATGTCATTTTTCGGATTAGTGCGTAGTAATAACCAATCATAACTGCTAATTTTGTGTTAGAAAAATTACCTAAGAAAGATCTTTCGGTCCTTCACAACTTGGGTTAGTTTTCAATTCCACTTTCCTGTTTATTTCACTGTTGCAAAAAAAAAAAAGAGGAAGAAAAATAAAAGACATGATTGCATGATAGGGTTTTTTAGGGGTAATTTAAACATCCGGGTAAAAGTTTAGCTCACATTCAGATTTACCCAGGTAAATATATATAAACACATCCAAAATATGAAGATCTCCTTTTGCTATGTACATTCTCTTCTAACTTTGCATCAATCAATAATGTCCAAGTCCAACATAGAAATATTTTCAACTATGAAAAGAAAATGAATGTCTAACCCACTCAGTGACATCTTATCATGAGGATTTGCAATCCTCTCCACATCTGCATTAAATCATAAGCGAAAACTGAGAAGGAAATCTCAACCACTAGAATTAGGTGTAGAGTTGGTAACCCATTTTTCAGTGACTGCGGAATCAGGCGACAGTGGAGGATGGTTTAAAAGAGCCATGTCATCCGCCAAGATGTCCACAACCTCTGCTTTTTGAGAATTCAACCCTTCATTCTGTATTCCTTTCAAAGTCTGCAACACTTCATCCATTGAAGGCCTCGTAGCACTCTCATGCTGCAAACATCGAAAAGCCAACTCCGCCACGGTCGTAGTCATCCTTCTCACAGAATTATTTGTTTCAAACTCAAGAGTTGGATCGACTAACTCCTGCAATGTTTGATTATTTATTTTGTTGATAGCCATATTAGCCAAATTAATATCATGCCGGTGCCTATTGGTGTCCACAGCTTGTAATGATGAGATAAGCTCAATCAAGACCACCCCAAAGCTATAAACATCACTCTTTTCAGTGAGCTGGTAGCACTGGTAGTACTCAGGATCAACGTAACCGGGTGTCCCCTGCGGAGCAGTTGAGACATGAGTGACATCATTGGGGAACAATCTGGAAAGCCCAAAATCAGCCACTTTCACGTGGAAATCATTATCAAGGAGAACGTTGTTGGTTTTGACGTCACGATGTATGATATCTGATGCATGGAGGTAAGCAAGTGCATGAGCTGTTTCTATGGCAATGTTCAAACGGACAGGCCAAGAGAGCAGACCAGAGTTTGCACGTTTTCCATGTAAATGATCGGCCACTGTTCCATTAGGGATATATTCATAAACAAGGAGAAGTTCTCGACTTCGTTTTGATGTGCATCCATACAGCTTCACAAGGTTCTCGTGTTGTAATCTTGTCAGGATCTCAACTTCATTCATAAACTGCTCTACCCGTTTAAAGTTGTTCTCATATAGACGCTTAACTGCAACTATGCGACCATCCTGGAGCTTGCCTGAGCATAGAAATGAAAGAGCCATTCAAAAAAGGAATAGATAAATATTAAAAGTTAATTTATTTAGCCAACTTTTGTGAGAGATTAACAGGATTTATCTTCATACCATAGTACACAGTGCCAAAGCCACCATCTCCAAGTTCTCTTGAAGGATTGAAATTATCAGTGGCTTCTTCAAGTTCAGTGTAGCTGAAGACCTGAACCCCAAAGTAGGTGCTTCCCTTTCCAAAGTCAGATATTGACGGATAAGAAGGGATGCTTTCAGTGAAAGCAGTTGAAGGAGTAGTAGTAAGGCCCTTGCTTGAAGGAGTTGGGAGGCCTTTGCTTTCAGTTTGGGCAGACTCTGCGGCAGCAGCAGCTAACCGTTTTCTCCTTTGTCTACAAAAGAAGATTAACCACCCCACGCCAATGCCAGCAGCAGCTGCACCTACTAAGCCAAGGCCTGGAAATAAAAGTAAACTGTAAGATTTTCTTTCTGAAACACTAATAGTGGCAAAAACATTAAATTCTGTTTGCAGCAGAGAGAAATATTACCTACACCAAGCGGTGTTTGGTTCGGAGAATTCTTGTTGCCTGCAAGAATTTATGGCATCCAACCATGTTAGATGGTTAACAACAAATATAAATGCAATAAAAAACATGGTAATAAAGAGCTAAAATGACATTGGCCAAAATTAATCTGTGGGATTTATCTTCTCCTTGTAACACTTTGAATTAGAAAAATCTACTTTATATTGTAATCTAATGATAATCCATATAGAACCAGACAGCCTGCACTGTAAGGGAAGGAAGCGACATATTGATAGCAGTTAGTACTAAAACTCTTCATCAGTATATTGCTTCTCTAGCCAAAACAACAGATACTAAGATGCAGCCATGCAGGTGTCAAAAGAAAATGCCAGATTTTTGCTTCTCACACTTTAAAGAAAGAAGTGAGCTCGTGATCTTTAATGGCTATTGCTTGGAAAGGGAAATGATGTTGGTGACATCTTCCCAAGCTGGAAAGAAATAGCATAATAAGGTATGATAAAAATCACAGTGATTAAATCCGATAAACATTGGATGACCATTACTTGCCAAACGATCAACTGCTCCCCCCGGGGGATTCGTGTTTCTTTTTCCTGCTTTTTATTAAGACATCTTTTTAGTTTATTTACTAGACTTAATATCAGAACAGAAGCCAACCCTTTTGGGATCAAAGATGCTAGCAAATGTAGAATGCCTTGAATGATGGAAGGAATGTCAGACTTTTTCTGATCTGTGTTTTTTTAAAATCAATCTTATCTACCCTGAAACAACTTCCATTTCATCAAGTGACCTCTCAATTCTTGCGGCATAGCTTCAATCATAGCAGTAGCACCTTGTATTCTGTATAATGGTTAGCAGTGGAAGAAAAATCAAAATTCATGGCTTTGTAACTTTGACATGGTTCAAAGTATCGGCAGATACTGATACGATTCAGCTGAGTTGTCCCGTCAACTTCTGATCTGATACCATTCCATGTTAGGTGTAAACTATGAGTCTGATGAGACTCGACTGAGTCATCCGAGATGTCTTCGAGTCAGAGCCAAGACGTCACGTCATCGTTACTGATTGGCAGACACCGTTCTACAAAGCCACAATATGGCCTAAATTTCTCATCGCGTTCAAGTTCTTTTGTGTATCACTTCGTGTGTATCACATGATACCGTTCACGATGCACCTTAGTGCCCTTCAAATCAATGGCCACCTTGACCCAAGAACTTTATATTGCACAGTACTAACAAGGGTAACAGTTACATAATCCAACAAAACATACACAAAATGCTATAATAACATTGGCAAAGTGTAGAAAAAGGGGAACCCTCAACATTGTTTAGAAAGAAGTTCAATTCATCAAGGTATCCTTTCAAATAGGCTTGCCTTTGAATAAAGCTGGCAAATGAGATGTTTGGATGCATACCTTGAAGCAGGTATGAAACTATTCGTAAATGCAAAGAGAATAAGGGGCAATAACTCAAGAAAAACAGAATTTTTTTTCTGTTTTGCATCTTAGGTTCAAGATTTCGGCATCGAGTACAGACCCAAATCATACCAAGCAATTATGTAACAAACAAGGCAAGAGGAGTTTCATTGACGTTTTACTTTGTGCTACATACTTCACTAAACCATGGTTCGAAGTATTGGCCGATACCAACACAACTCGGCAACGTCATACCTGAGCTGCACCTTTCGTTCCGAGACAGACACCCATATTATGTAAACCATGACTCTCATTCAAATCGTGATTGACTAGAGATGTCTTGGAAGACTCATGCCAACATGTGTGAATTTTCAGCATTCAATTGCAGCATATCGCCTGATATTGTTCCATGAAGTCAGGATCTAGCATGGATATCTTGTCATGTCTACTTCTATCAAGCATTTGGTGTTTATTGTTCGATATAGTTCTACAAATGCTGTTACCAATGTGTAGTCAATGGTCGATACCACAGTATCAAAACATTTACTCAACCGCGAGGAATATATCATATCGTTCCAAGCATCAAGAACTATACAATTTGGATGTTTACTCAACTAAAGTTTCAAATTGAATTGTAGATTTCAAGATCAACCTTCTGCAAAGATAAGAATCTAGGAGCACACTTACCAGAGTGATGAAAAAATAACCTGGAAAGATATTTACCATAAACTAGACTATTAAGGGGGGCATCTGACGAAGCAAAATACCAAGGACATCACACTTTCAAGTTAATTGGAATCAAGTTAAATTCCAACGTAAAGCAGATACCAAACTTCAGATGGTTATAGCTACACCTACCAATTTGCTGAAATTTGCAGCACCAATTTGTGGAGGCGCAATGAAAGCAAAAGGGAGAAATTCCTTAGTAAAAGGCAAAAGAATAGTTTGCTTTGTGTTCACCGCACGGCTGCAGTGCTTTAGTTGAGTAAAAAAAAAAAGGAGAAATTCCAAAAAAGAGCAGTCAAACAAAAAATTAATGATTGGTGACATCACACATTTTTCAATATACGAGGAAACAAGGTATAATGCAGTACTACCATGTACTTTAGAAACCTGAATGTAAGGAATTAGAGGTTATATACATACAGGGACAGTACAAGATATTTCACGAGGACAGACGAATAGAGACTATGGAGGAAACATGCAATTGTAAACTTAGGATACCCTACCAGTATTGATCATAGCTGTAAATTTTGGTTTTGACGAAGACTAACCACTGATTGAAAAAACGACATAAGGAAAGAAAAATAATAAAACAAAAAACTTTACAAGTATCATGTTTTTATCGAGTAAACGTAAGAGGCAGGCAACTTTTCAGAATTGTAACCGGACGATGTTGGGTAAAGCCAAACTGTGCAGAGAGAAAACAGAACATCAACTAAGGACCCTCCAATAAGAGGCATATATACATCTGCAGTTTACATAAAACTCAAGTGATGTTCCAATATTGGCACAAAATGAGGCCACCATTGGTGAAAGTCACACAGACAACATATCCACTTTGAAACACATGCTGCACAGCCTGTATTTGCACTACGACTCTCTTCTTCTCATAAGCACAATACAAAATTGGGATTATAATTGAAGGGGTTAGCCTTCATGATGGCACGTGTTACAACATTAAATAAGCTGACGTGAGCTTGACAAGACCAGTTATGTGACGAAGACATTCACCTAGCCTTGAGGACCAAGCCGAACTGATCAGTTCATTTGACAAACAAAAAAAAAGTTAGATTCTCTTTATGATCGAGTTCATCAATCTGTTTGACTACGCAAGGAGAGAGCTCGGCTTGTGCCAAGCCAAGTTCTCTAGAGTGTTCGGGAAAGCAAGTGAAAAGATCGGTTTGTGCCAAACCAAGTCTCCTAACCGTTCGGCAAATGTCGAATGTGCTCGACACTCGATATGTCCGAGCTGTTCAAAACGATATTAGAAAGATAAATATTCACCTAAAATCTAGGCAATCAAATAAACGAAATCGATGAGATTGAAGATATCAACATAAATTGTTGGAGAAGTATCAGTAACTTCCCAAACTCAATTACTGAATTAAAGGAAGGTGTGCCACCTTAAACCTAAATTCATGGAAACCCTAAAAGGATAATGATCTATAAAAACAGAAGAGACCAAGGTGAAATGGACGCTGAACTCTCATTGTCTTGGTGCAATTCTTCTGTTCCATTATTGATTTAAGTATCAGAGTGCCTTGATCGGAGTACTTCAATTTTGGACAGTTTGTTTGTTTTACAGGAAAGAGATTAGGAAATTGTTTAGGCTTCTTTCCTAGAAATCATATCACGAATTCACGTGTCGAGATATTACCAATTTTTTGCCTCTACAATAATTCAATCATCAACTTTTTTGATTCTTAAAAAATGTTTGAATTACCAATGGTAATAAGCCTTGAGGGGAAGTTCAACTACCTTCTGGAGGAGGTGCCGCTGGTGCTAAAGGACACAGCTTATCGTCACAAATGCAAATGGGTTCACCCAAATTGGTATCAAACCCACACTGCCCGCCAAATTCAGTACACTGTGAGCACTGTCTGTCGTATGGGTCACTATAAACCACACTGAAACCCTCGGTCAAAGCATCCCCAAGAGTTGTCCGATTACTCGTAAGCCTATCACCGACGGACCAGAGGATTGGAACCGTAATACTCACACTACAACTAATAACATTCAATATCGGATCGCTCGGAACCGGTCCAACCAAGTAATAAGCATCGGTAAAATTGACACCACTCACATTGCAACTGAATCGATTTTGGGGTTTTATTATCAGAAGGGAAGAATTACAGCCGTAAATCATTGTGAGAACTTCATTTTCGAGTCCAGAGTTGTAAATGGTGGAATTGAGAGTTGAATTGACGAATTGTCGAGGACAGGTGGTGTTATAGAGATCCAAGCGGGCTAGAATTAGGGTTTTATGGATTTGATTGATTTGGAGAACTCGGTAAGTGACAGAGTTGGTGGTGAACACCGTTTTGTTGTTTCGGCAGCTAAGTCGGAACTCGGGGAGGCCACAATGGTCGGGCCGATCGCCACCGGAGAAAGGGTAAGAGATGTTTCGGATGGAACCGCAAGAGAAGGTTCGGTTACAGTTGGGGTAGGTAACATCGGAGGAAGACGACGGCGTGAGGTGGCCGGAAAAGATGAGGAAAACGGCTACAACAACGGGAGAGAAAAGGAGAGAAGGGGAGGAGTGAGGCAGAGGCATTTGGGAATTGGAGAGAAGGGTGAGAGAGTGACATGGGATTCGGTAATGGGGTGGTTAGTGTTTGAACGTTGAATGATTGAAGCTAACTTTGGTTGACTCGGACCTCTGCGTTCTGGTTTGTTGCGCCCTGTTGGGGTACGGAAGCAGGACGCTGTGTTTCGTTAATGGTCCGTTTGGCAGGGAGGCTGGAAAATTAGCGAGAAATATATATATATATTTTTTATGTTTAATATGTTGGACGAAAAATTGGAAGAATGTATTTTTCTTTGTTTGACATAGAATGAAAAGAAAAAATATATATACTAAATTTATTATTATACCCTCGCCTCACATCTAAGAGGTGAATTTTTCTATAGTAATCCTTATGTCTTGTATCATTCGAATCTCATCCCTGATATATTCATTGTTTCAGAAGAACAGTGGACAAATAAAAATAAAGAATTGATTTTCATTCATATCAATCACATTATTTTTTGTGATTGAATTTTACTTTGCCCCTGAAAGATTAAGAATTTTTATTTTGTATGATTAAGTTTTTTTATTTTTTTATCCTAAATTTATTAAAATATTATAATATGACCTTTTTTAATCTTTCGCTACTCATTCCGTCAATATCAATAAGATGTTTTTGAAAGACTCTATAATCTATAATATAAAATATGAAAGAATTTAATAAATTCATCTGATAGCAACTAATATTTCTCTTAAAATTATTCACATTATATCGTGCTTCATTCAGGCACGAGTTACTCCTATAAAACAACAAAAGCTAACAAAAGATCCATATTACTATATTTTTAATACATTAAAGATGTAATATAAAAAATTTAATCTTTGAAGATTTAAAATATAATTTTTAAAATTTTTCAAGATATAAAATATGATTTTTCCTTTATTTATTGGGATCATTAGAAGACAACATGTATCCAATCTTATTTCAATCATATTCTTAACTTAAAGGGTTAACTGCAAAAAAATTCTTGTATTTAGGGTCAATGTAGACAATCTCCCTCAATTTTAGATTTTTGTACAAAACCCCATTGAATTATGATTTTCTCTACAAAAATGAATGGACATTATAAAATTAATGATGAGTGTTACCCACGCACCAAAAATAGTGCATCAGAGAATATTTTCCCCACCTTTTCTACCAATAATTCCAAAACTACCCTCTTTTTCTCCTCTGACGAGTTTATATCACCACCTCTCTCTCTCTCTCTCTCTCTCTCTCACAAAAGCACCAACAAACAACCTAGGCAAGAAAGTATGTCAAACCATCTTTCTTCAATCTCTTCTCCGCCGAGGCCCATTTTCCTCCACATCTCCCTGTAAAAAGTACATTAACATACACACATTTTCGCCAAACTAATGGATCGCGTTTGTGTGATGTAGGAATTGAGTGTGTGAGGATGATTTCATGTTCAATGGGTTTGTGAAGATGGATAATTTTGGAGGTTGAGAGAGGGGTGACAAGGTGCTAGTGTGTGATGGTAATATTGGTTGTGGATGGATAGGAAAAAGGAAAGGTGTAGAGAGAGAGAGAGAGAGGAGGAGGAGGAGTAGGTTTGAGGTACAATAGTGAAAATTATGTGTCATCTTAGTTTGAGGTACAATAGGAGGAGGAGTAGGTTTGAGGGTGATTAGTACAAAAATTTAAAATTGAGGGTGGTTGTTGAAACTGACCTCAAGTAGAGGGAAATTTTTTTTTTACCCTAACTTCAATATGTATTATTCGTATTATAATACAATAAATCAACCATTCCACCAGATCCCTCGTCAAGGAGGAAAAAAAAAAACATCTCACTTCACCTACTCTTATTTTTCTATTCTACAAAGGTAATAAAATTCTCAATAAAGTTTTGCAGAAGGTTTGGGAGTGGGTTGGGAGAGACTAGGATGGAGGGAATACTTTAAAGGTTGCATTGAACGAACTCCAATGATCTTACAATTCTAATATTTTTAATTTTAAAGAGACATTATAAAGAACATTTGATTTATATAGCTCAGCTAAATATAATAGCAGAATTCATGAAACCAATCCCAGAATAATAGAGTTTAGAACAAGAGGCATAAACGCAACGATTATTTACACTAAAATGAGTAGAGAGGATTAGGTCTTCTTAAAAAAATAAGCATTACCAATTAATCAAGTCTCTATCAATCTATCGCCAAGTACTAGATATTGTTATATCGTAAGAACGGAATTATTTTTCGTGATAAGTCATATATGTTAGGATTAAAATATTCATGAAAGATAAATCTTTTTTAATCCGATTTCAAAGAGTTGTCAAGATTCAAATTCAAAATATCTGAATTTACAACTCGTCAATATTTTCACTTGAATCATCCCATAGAATTGCATAAAGAATATCTTTGTGCTTGTATAAACTGACTCTTCGTATTGGGGTTACTTTATAACATGTTTCCACTTGTCTAATGTTGTAGCTTAAGGTGAAAAAAATACTTGGAATAAGGACAATAGGTTCATGACGCGTAGCAGCTATATAGTTGACTGGTCGGATTTGATTATTATTTTTAGTGAGACTAATCGGACATAAATCAGCAATATGACTAAAATAACATAAACTCAACTATGAATTTTTTATTTTTATTTTTTTGATCAGATAGATTTAACTCCCTTTTAAAAGGAACTAAGGCAAGGTAATTTAATTCAAGTCGATTTGATATTGATCTAATTTAAGTTGATTTGGTACTCTAACTCCTGATTTCTTAACGTGACTAAAGAATCTGGACCACCCGATCTAGCTCGCTGCAGTTATGAACTTTGTCAAATATTTTTTTTTGGGTTCTCACCAGCTTGACCTAATTGGGTTGTATTAATCGCCATCAAATTGCACCAACTTAATATCTTTTCCACCCACCACTTCCCTGTCCTTTCCGTCATGCTGCAAGGCAAGGTTTCTCTCCAACGTCAGGCACATCATCTTTGACCATTCCACCAATATTAAACTGTTTCAAAGTCATTGATGAAAAATAGAACTACTTTGGTATTCAATGAACAGTTTCATGTTTGAAGCTCCCATGAGAACCTAAGTGATTCCATATACCTTAGCTTTCGACTTATGCCTTAATGAATTCGAACTAATTAATAAGACTAAGAAGATCAGGGCACGTACCAGTTCCAGGTTGAGTGTTATTACATGTAAGTGGATAAGGTCCATCTGCGCAATAACAAGCAAAGGATGTGGAATCCGAATTGGATGAACCGCATAGCCCACGTGATTGGATGCATTGTTTACAGTTAGTATCATTTGCATCCCACTGCAATTGAAAACCACCGGCAAGAGCTGCTCTTAGGTTAATCATGGAAGCCGAAGGGCTCGATAAAGCCAGAGTCGAGACTGGATTGACAGGAACAAGAACGCTGCTATTGCATGTCACCAAGTTAATGTTAGAGTTCGATGTATCTCCCATGACGAAATAGCTGATGCTGCTGGTGGTGCCGTTTCCAGGGCAATCAAACTGGTTTGGAAGTGATGGCGTTTGACCCGGAAGTCCGGTGCACTCATAGTGCAGACTCACGTTCTGTTGATTGGAAGCATACTTGAAGATGGTGAAATCCATGGTGGTGTTATAGAGAAGAGTGGGACAGTTATTGTTCCACATATCTTCTCTAGCAACTGTTAGAGTCTGTGTCTGGTTATCAATTGCCAGGACTCGGTAATCCATTGACAGGATTGTGATAAGCGGGACAGAGCCTTGACAATTCAGCTGGAAACCTGGGTGGCCACAGTACGATGGCCGGGTCTGCCCTGAGAAAGGATAGCCGAGGTTTGAAATGTTTGCGCACTGAAATAAGTTGTCACATGCTGCATATTCTTGATTATCTTGACACAGAAACATAGGAATGTTGCTTAAGATGGAGACTATGATCATGAAGGGATAGGAGTGTCTGAGGAGATTGGGATCCATTTGGAAAGAGAGAGATGAGTTTAGAGAAATTTGGTGAAAACCAATATCAGTTTGGGATGGAAATAAAAAACTCAAACCAATATGTGGAGATGAATAAGTCATCTTTTCTCATGATTGTATGATAGGAAGAAAGTGATCTTTGACTAAGCCAACTTGTAAAATTTTCAAAGAAGACGGAAGCTTAGATTGGGATGCAAATGTACCTAACAAAGTCTGGTATAATAATAGCACGACAATGACAGTTTTGTAAAAGAATTCACACAAACGCACTCAGCGGATGTGTCAAGGCATTGACCAGATCAAAAAAAAAAAGAAGAGGTGGATAGATTGAAGCAGATTTTGGCAAACTGAAGGTGGCTGTAATGAAGGATGAATTTTACAGAAACAAAACGGGGTTGCGTTTTCTATGATCTGATGGAGATGCCCAGGAATCAAATAGTTGATCAGAGGCATCAGTCCTCAAGAGTCATTTGCTGGTGGCATGAACTCCTGCAGATGGGTAAACCTCCCAGTTCATAGCATGCTGTGCAACCCCCCCCCCCCCAAAAAAAAAAAAAAAAAAA